TCTTTGGAGTGTATGCTTTCTAAATGCCGGTTGTTGTTGTTGTTTTAAAATATCCTTTGGCTAGGAAAAAATATGCACATTGAGCTATATGGCCTTAATTCCTTCAGTCATCTGCTGGTCCCCCAGGAACAAAAATTAGCTTGTGCTTACCGTGAGCTCTTCAGCATGCTTACTGGAGTTGTTCCAAAAGAGATAAATTTTCTCCTTTACTTACCCAGATTCATCCCATTACAGAAACACCTGAAACCTATTTTGCTTTTTTGTCAGAGAAGCAATTTTCTTCTGGTTCTGGATACGACTGATGGGCTTTGTGCAGGAGAACTGTTCTGAGTCCCTAGTTAAAAGATAAAGATGGCCTGTGCCATTTGTATACTTAGGAAGTTCAAATAATAAAAAGTTCACCATTAAAAAAATACTCAGCAGAAAGGTACCCCCAAAATCTAACGTTTGGATCAGGCCTGACTTTGAGGGACCATCTTAAGCAAACAAATTTTTTTTTTTCCCTTGAGCGGGTCAAGAGAGACCCCATTTAAGTTTGTTTGGAAACCAGAGTTTGCTTCATCAGAGCTCCCTTCTGAAGCCTTCTCAAATTATTAATGATTTCTACCAGAGAGTGAAAAAAGCAAAGAGTAGCGCCTAAGATTTGAAGAAGCAGTGAGGGGAAGATTCAGACTTCTGGGAAGCAGGGTTGGTAGTGTGTGTTGTAACCCATGCATTTTGGAGAGGAATCCTCTTTTTGAGACCCCTCTGAAAACATCCATGTGAACATTCACATTTGTATGTGGTGAATGGAATGGCTTGCATTGTTAATGGGAATAGTTCTGAAAAGCTTACCTGGCAGATCCTTCCTTTAGTGAAGGCCAGTCTGTGGCCAGTTTGACATCTTCCACTGGAGAAGACTTCCTTGCAAAATATGATGGCCTAAACATTCACTCATAACAAGCTGGTTCTTGACTTGGGTTTAGAGTTGCCAACCTCTAGGTGGTATGTAGAAACAACAGAGAGATCACAGGATGGATGCAAACAATAATGAAAACAACCGTGATGTTATATTATGTAAATATATTTAGACTACTGTTCTGTGGTGAATCGTATTTCTTCATCACATTATAAAAATATACGCATACTCACAACGGGAATTGCATATAATACCGTTTCACATAACAGCTTTTTCTAAGTGTGCTGCGTGAATACCATTCGTTTTACACATCAGGAATTCTAATCCATGAATTAACACACAACATTCTTCCCACGTCAGTGAAACAGATTCTTTCGGTGCTCGGGTTTCAGTGTTTCATTGAAGTGGGAAGACTGTTGTGTGTTAATTCGTGGATTAGAATTGTTGACGTGTAAACGAATGGTATTCACGCAGCACAGAAAAGGTTGTTGTGTGAGACGGTATTATATGCAGTTCCTGTTATGTGTATGCATATATTTTTATAATGTGATGAAGAAATATGATTCGCTACAGAATAGTAGTCTAATTTTCATAATAGAACATCACGGTTGTCTTCATTATTGTTTTTAACCTCCAGGAGGTGGCTGGAGGTATCCCGGAATTACAACTGGTCTCCAGGTTACAGAGATCAGTTCCCTGGAGAAAATGGCTGCTTTGGAGGGTGGGCTCTATGACATTATACTCCACTGAGATCCCTCCCCTCCTTAAAGTCCACCCTCCACAGGCTCTGTGTTGTTGTTCAGTCGCACAGTCGAGTCTGACTCTTCGCGACCCCATGGACCAGCTCCCGCCAGGCCTTCCGGTCTTCTGCCGTCCTCTGAAGTTTGCTCAACTTCATGTTCGTTGCATCTATGACACTGTCTAACCATCTCATCCTTTGCCGTCCCTGTCTTCTTTGACACTCAATCTTTCCCAGCATCAGGGTCTTCTTCTCCAGTGAGTGCTCCCTTCTCATTGGGTGGCCAAAGAGATGGGAGTACCAGACCATAGGCTCTACCCCCCCCCCAAAAAAATATTCCAGGTATTTCCCAACCCAGAGCTGGCAACCCTACTTGGGGTAAGGTCTGATGATCTCTAGGAACCCCCATGAGGATTATAAAATTCAGAATAGCATTTTCAGCTTCCCTTTGGGCCAGTTCAGATTATGACCCCGAAATCCCTGCGAGCATCTCCTGTGATCTATGAAGGGCCGTTTTGTGGTTGATCTCTCTAGAGGGCCAAACTAGATGTTACCTCCGCCGTGAATAAGGTTGGGGGTTCCCTGGCCTGTTTACAGATAGTCGTGACATCAGGGACCTGTATGTGGAGCTCCGCAGTAGGGAAGATATGGGGTTGCCAACCTTCAAGGGGGGGCCTGGAGATCTCCCAGAGTTACAGCTGATTTCCAGACTGCTGAGATCAGTTCCCCTGGTGAAAATAGCTAGATTCAAAGTCCAGTAGCTGCGGTGGCTCAAGTGGTTAAGACGCTGAACTGCAGGCTGCGGAAGGTCAGTAGTTCAGCGGTTCGAGACCCGGGTGCCGCAAGACGGAGTGAGCTCCTGTCTCTAGTTCCATCTCCTGCCAACCTAGCAGTTTGAAAGCAAGAAATTGCAAGTAGATAAATAGGTACCACTTGAGTGGGAAGGTAACAGTGTTCCGTGCGCCTTGGTGTTTAGTCATGCCGGCCACATGACCACGGAAACGTCTTCGGACAGCGCTGGCTCTTCGGCTTGGAAACGGAGATGAGCACCGCAACCCGAGAGTCGGACTCGACTGGCTTTCAAGCAAGGGGAACCTTTACCTTTACCTAGCACCTTAGAGATCAACGGGAGTTTGAGGGTATGAGGTTTTTGAGAGTCAAAGTTCCCTTCATGGGATAGCATTCTGACTTGCAGAACCGTATGCCCTGAAAATCTTGTCCGTTGCTAAGGTGCTACGGACTCAAGTCTAGCTGGATTTTTTTTTGCAGACGGACACTCTCTGAAACTACCCAATGAAAATGGCTGCTTTTGAGGGTGGTCTCTGTGGCATTATATCCTGCCGAGGTCCCTTCAAACCCCAACTGCCCCAGGATCCACCCCCAAACTGGAGTTGAAAACACTAAGTAGATAGGGTGTCTCCCCCCCATAGCCATTTCTGCTTGGGAAAACGGCATGGGAAGGAAGGCTGAAATGCCTTCTCCCTCCGCACCCTACTCCCGAGCCAAATCCGGTCCCAGGGTTCTTGGGAATGCTAGTCCCCAATGTTATGTTTGTTCATAAAACAAGTCAGGGAACCCTGAACCAACTCATCGCAACTCTAATGTCTGCTTTGTCTCTAAGAGAATAAATGTTTCTTGATGATCATTCTAAAGCATGAAAGGACATTCGTGAGCTCTGAATGGCACCATTTGCTTTCCTGCAGTCTTTTCAGACGATACAAGCAGGGGAAACGTGTGTGTCTCTGAGAATGTGGTGAAAGAGATCACGGGGCAAGCTGTGTCCTGGGCCTGGTGTGTTCACACAGAACATACTGGAGTCCAGACAGTACAAGACTTTCTCTGCACAACTGGCAACTCAGGGCATTGGTAAAAATGGTCCCTCCATCATTCAAATCATATTTTGACGATAGCCCTCATGCTGGTATGTCGATCTTTGCTCCTAGAGACCTACATCTTCTCCTTTCTTTCTTTTGGGCAGTTTCTTTTACCGTTTCATCATGAAATCAAGAGTGGTTAACATGGAATTGCTGCCCAAACAAGAAATGCAGTCCAGTCAGAAACCAAATACAGAATAGTTCTTCACAATCTCTAAGAGTCAGTTGTCGGTGACCTGATTGTTTGTGCAGCTTCTGATTAGTGAAGTCTGAATTTACGGTCTCCAAAATCCTGGAGACCCTCGGCATTATCCAAAACTATAATCTGCAAGAACAACTTTTCCCCACCTGTCTTTGTGAGGATCAAACTGATGGAGAGGTCATGCTTGTATATGAAAAGAGGTGTTCGCCATGAGGTGTCATTTGTTTATATGTTTTTATTTAATTACTTTATATATACTTTTTAAAAATGCTGTTTTAAATTGGGGGGGGGGAATGATGTTTTGATGTTCACCGCCTTGGGGACCCTGTTTGGGTGGATTATGTGTTGTAGAAATGAAATGTTTTCGGCAAATAAATATGCTGCATGTGATGTTCCTGCCTGGGAACTAAGACCACAGAGAGACGCGCTCTTGAAGAAATTCATCTGATGGGCACATGAGAGAATGCTTTTTCAGTGGGAGCCCCACGCTTATGGAACACCTCCCCACAGGGGTGCACCTGGCCCCCTCACTTTTGATCTTTAGGAGACAGTTGGAAGATCATGACCAGTGTTCCCTCTAAGCTGAGTCAGTGTGAGCCAGCTCACAGTTTTTTTAGCCTCTGGCTCGCACATTGTTGTCTCAGCTCAGGAAGGGATGGCTCCAGAGCCAACTAATTTATGCAGCAGCCAAATCGCTCTCTCGCAGCTTTAATGCCGGTAGCTCACAAGACTCCACAGCTTAGAGGGAGCATTGTTCCTGACGGCATTGGGTTCGTTCTTCTACCTACCGGCAGTTTAAAATTTTTTATTTTAACTTGTGGCTTTTATGTTTTGAATTGGCCATTGACTCTGTCTGTGACCTTATCTGAAATATTTATTTGGAGGGAAGCGCCAATTATCCGGTTGCTAGCAGAGCATTTACGAGGCTCATTCCGGCCTGAGCGTGTGAGGAGGAATTTCTTGCTGCACCTCACCGGTAGCAAGTAAAAACTCACCATGCAGGAACGACACTGGGGAATTTGTGGATCTGTACGTGGCTCGTAAATGCTCTGCTAGCAACCGGATAGTTGTGGGTTTTATGTATTTTATTGTCTTCCATCATTGTTTACATTGTAAGCCACCGTGGGGTCCTGTAAGGTACAAAGATAGACGTTTTAAACAAATAACATTTCAGTATGGATTGGGGGGGGAAGTGAAATCCCTGCTCATGGAAATTGAATGTGTTTCTTTAGTTCTTCGTATAACGTCGACCCCTTTCTCTCTTCCCCACCCCCCCTTCCTCTTCAGATATTTATTAACAATGAATGGCACGAATCCAAGAGCGGAAAGAAATTCTCAACCTATAGCCCTTCAAGGGCTGAGAAGATCTGTGACGTGGAAGAAGGAGACAAGGTCTGGTTAGTTTCTTCTCCACGGGAAGTTCTTGCTGGGGGTGCAGAAATACAAGGAGGCCGGCTGCAGACTTGGCAGCTCAAATCGCACATCCTCTCAAACAAATGAGGAGAGAAGCGCTTGTTGATAGCTAGTCCGGTCTCCTTGCTGGATTCTACCTGACATTGTTTCTCTGGGATAGAGGCGCTCCTAGAGCGCTCAACTGGAATAGGGGTGTGTGTGTGTATGTGTGAGAGGGGAACTTGGGACCAATTTACATTGCATTATCTTCACCGCAACATTTTCTTCTAGAGCAGCACACAGGGTTCTCCCTTCTGTTTTATTCTCACCAACAGCCCTGTAAGGTAGATTTGGCACAGGGTAAAGGGTCCTGGGTTCTGATTGTCAGAGCTGAGGTCCGAACTGATCTCTGGCCTGGTGTTCTAAACATGACACCATTTATTTGGTTAAGGCTTTTTTAATGGCACCATAGGGGACGGTTATTTTTGGCTTAATGAACACCCCAAAGTCTTGAATCGAGGTCTGGGGGTGCCTTTTATTGCAGGGTGGTGCTTGTTCGCACGGGGATCAGAGTACCCCAAACTTGTCAGATCTCGGAAGCTAAGCAGGGTCAGCCCTGGTTAATACTTGGATGGGAGACCACCAAGGAAGTCCGGGGTTGCTATGCAGGGGAAGGCCATGGCAACCCACCTTTGAGTGCTTCTTGCCTTGAAAACCCCATGAGGGGTTGACGTAAGTCAGCTGGGACTTGAGGGCACTTTTCACCTCCATCAATTTGTTGTTGTTGTTCAGTCGCACACTCAAGTCCGACTCTTCGCGAGCCCATGGACCACATCACGCCAGGCCCTCCTGTCTTCCGTCGTGCTCCAGAGTTTGCTTAATTGCATGTTCGTTGCATCGCTAAGACTGTCTAACCATCTCATCCTTTGCCGTCCCCGTCTTCTTTGACCTTCAGTCTTTCCCAGCATCAGGGTCTTCTCCAGGGAGTGCTCCCTTCTCATTGGGTGGCCAAAGTATTTGAGCTTCAGTTTCATTATCTGGCCTTCCAGGGAACAGTCCGGGTTGATTTCTTTTAGGATGGACTGATTTGATCTCCTTCCAGTCCAATGGACCCTCAAGAGTCTTCTCCAGCACCATAGTTCAAAAGAATCTATTCTTCGGCGCTCGGCCCTCCTTATAGCCCAACTCTCGCAGCCATACATTACTACTGGGATTACCTCCATCAATATGGTGTCAGCTAGCTGCCGTGCTTTCTTTGTTTTCTTTTGTCCCTGACTTCTGTGCAGCCGCACATGCTTGCTTAGTTTAGCTACCGTGGGTAACATAAGGGAAGCGCTCTCCCCCCCCCCCCCGCGAACTGGCCCAGCCAGACAGCGTTATCAGTATAACCTTGAAGGGAAGGGAGGGCTTGGATTCCACTATGGGTGTGAATATTTCTGCTCTCAAAGGATTGGGGTGAGTCTCCCATTCATGATGTAATATCCCGCCGGGAGAATTCCCCCCCGCGCGCTTGGATTTCATTTGCTTAGCTAGATGCAGCATCAGAGTATATGTATGGAGCCCCTTGCACTAATCGTCATTCCTGACAATGTACCTGTACCACTTGGCAACAGACCAGTGTTCCAAATAAAACATAGCCTTTTCAGGAGAGTGTGTTTGGACCTGCTTGCTGTTGACCCTGACAGAATACTGGTCTGTTGCCAAGTGGTACAGGTACATTGTCAGGAATAACGATTAGTGCAAAGGGGCTCCATACACATACTCTGATGCTGCATCTAGCTATTTTTGATCAACGGCATGGGGTAGGCATTCGTGGAAGAGACTGCATTCAATCCACGATAGTCAGTACACAGTCTTAAGCCCCCATCTTTCTTTTTCTGGAAGACCCCATCTTTCTTTTTCCGGGGGCTGCAAACGGGGAAACAGCTGGCCGGATGAATCCCCTTCTTGCTGCTTGCTGCCGTGCTTTCTTTGTTTTCTTTTGTCCCTGACTTTTACGCAGCTGCACATGCTTGCTTTGCTCAGCTACCATGGGTAACATAAGGGAGGCGCTCTTTCCCCCGTGCAAACTGGTTCAGCCAGACAGCGTTATCAGTATAACCTTGTTTTAGATTTAGGCAAATCTGATTCTACAGTCACATCATTGATCAGTCTGAGCACTTTAAAAGGCCCGATGTACTTCCACGCCAATTTCTGAGAGGACTGCGAGAGTCTCAAATTCCTTAAACTGCAGTTTCCCAAACAGACTAGTAAGGATTTGGTACAGTCTGTGTGTGGCTTGTGACTGACCAGTTTTCCGAGTCCACCACTGATTGCCCGCCGAACAGAACATGGGGCTGTTGTGCAGTTGCCTGTCAGACCCCCGTACGTCCTCACTCCCAACAACACTCTTCAGATGCAAGATTTGTTTATTGAGGTATGCAGTCGATACAGGTGTAAGCCAACTTGTGTCAGAACTGGCGGGCATTGGCGCCATGCCCACTATTATACCCATTTCAATCTACCCCCCTTATGCCATGGTCCAGTCACACTGGTCAGTCATCCCGCCAAGTCGATGCGCGGTCTCCCCACCCACTCACACACTACAAAGTGTGTCTATAGCAGCGCTCCTGGCAGCAAAGGCTTCAAGGACACTTCGTCTTCCCTCCTCAACTTGGGAATTGTTACAGGCGTCTAGCAAAGCCTGTTCCCACACATTCCTTCCCCCATTCACTCCCCCCCCCTCCCAGCACAAAACGAAAACATCACAGAGAACAGGAATCAACGTGGCAAACGGAAGTACTGAGCTTGACATTGCCCCCTTTGTACAAAATGTCCGAGGCTGCATGCCGGCCTGACCACTAGGCAAACCGAAGTGATCCCGTGGGGTGCCGGGATCTGAAGAAGAAATGAATGTGCCGTTGAATCACCAAGCCCGCTCATGGTGAGCCCATCCATGAGGCATTATCCGCAAGTGAGCAGAAGTGGATTGCCGTTGCCTTCTTCCATATAGTGGCCCCAGTTCTCCTTGGGGTCTCCCACTGAAGTACTGGTCATGTCTGACCCTGCTTACTTCCCCAAGCCCAGAAGACCTTGGGCTAAGCTGGGCTGAGGAGCTGGGATTTGAGGGGCACCAAGAAGGTGAGGGGAGCCTCCTCTCCTGTCTTGAAGGGAAGCCTGCTGTTAACTGGCTTCTAGAATCTCTGTTTCTGTTGACGCTGGTCTTCTAGAGCTGCCAGGTTGGAACACGGAGGGCTTTTGAAGAACCTATCTCATTTTATTTTTGCATTTTTTTGCTTTTGAATGCCCAGTAAAACAGTCTTGTGGGCAAAAATTCTACTTTGTGAGCTCCTGGCATTAAAGTTGTGAGTGAGCGATTTGGCTACTGCATAAATTAGTTGGCTCTGGAGCCCTCCTTCCTGAGCTGAGACAAAAATATGTGAGCCGGAGGCTAAAAAGCTGTGAGCTAGCTCACACGCTCCTGCCAACCTAGCAGTTCAAAAGCAAGAAATTGCAAGTAGATAAATAGGTACCACTTCGGTGGGAAGGTAACAGCGTTCTGTGCGCCTTGGTGTTTAGTCATGCCGGCCACATGACCACGGAAACGTCTTCGGACAGCGCTGGCTCTTCGGCTTTGAAACGGAGATGAGCACCGCAGCCCTAGAGTCAGACCCAACTGGCTTTCGAGCAAGGGAACCTTTACCTTTACTTTACCTCACACTAACTCAGTTTAGAGGCTATTTTAAAATCCATCATCTCTCAAGGAATAACTTCAGTGCTGACCAATGTTCCCTCTAAGCTATGGAGCTCTGTGAGCAAAAATTCTACTCTGTGAGCTACTGGCATTAATGTTGTGAGCAGGAGATTTGGCTGCTGCATAAATTAGTTTGCTCTGGAGCCCTCCTTCCTGAGCTAAGACAAAAATGTGTGAGCCGGAGGCTAAAAAACTGTGAGCTAGCTCACACTAACTCAGCTTAGAGGCTATTTTAAAATCCATCATCTCTCAAGGAATAACTTCAGTGCTGAGTCTGGGAACCCATAGCGGCTTATAGAATTCCTCTTCTCCAGTTAATCCTCACAACAACCCTGTGAGTTAGGGTAGACTGAGATTGGGGGGGCTGGCCCAAGGTCACCCAACAAGCTCCCCGGCAGCGTGGGGATTCGAACCTGGGTCTCTCAGCTCCTAGTCCAACTCTCTAGCCCCTGCATCGTGCTGGCTGTCTTACAAAACACATTCGACAACGTTAATAAACAGTTGCTCTTATCTGGATCAGAATCACGCAGAAGGCTTTTATTCCCCCCCCCCCAATCAAAACATGAGAATTTTGCCCTGGTTGATAGCTGTGATGGAGCTGATCTTCCGTTCCCCTGCCAGCCACAAATGCTAATTGCATATTAAGCCTCGGTATTGCAACATCCATGTAATCCAACACTGATTAAGAGCTGGGTGGATTAAGAATGGAATTTCAGCCTTGCCCATAGAGTTTCCTTGTTCTTGAGGGTTCCAGTTCGGACCTCTCTCTCTCTCTTTTTAAAATATTATTCTTGTAACTAAGAGGTTACGTGGGCCTGGCCTGACATTTCGATTGAAAGATTCCAGCTGAGTTTGGCCACTTGCGTAAGAATGGCTGCGCAGCGTTCCAAACCACATATAAAGGTATTTAAACAATCTGAATGCTGCTTAAATCTATCCGGATCTCGGTGGCATGTGGCTCTGGCCAGAGAAAAGGAGTCTTGGTGGCACGTGACCTGGGGACAGACGTCTGTCTGTTCTGGTCTAGAATTACGTCCATCTGCTCTGCTTTGGGGAATTGCTCTCCTTGCACATCCTAATCCGCAAGTGTATTTTGCTTCACGACTGATTGAAAGGTCCTTTTCTGTAGGGGCTGCTCTAGTTCATTTTCATATTGTGCTTTCGAAAAACAGCACTGAAGGAGAGATGCTATGTTAAAGCATGAAACTGCTTGAACCTTGAAATTTCCTCCCCCAAATCTCCAGGAATTTCCCAGTCTGGAGCTGGCAACCCTACCTAAGGTCAGGGGTAATCCAGTCTCCAGTCTCACAGGCCGCCTTTCAATTAGCTGTCTCTGGTAAAGAGATGAGCCACAATGTTGAGCCTATCCCAGTTCAGACTTCAGAACCTCTTTGGAAGCAGGTGAGAAAAAGCCTACTGCTTTCTATTGAGCAGCAAGATTGTCTGTGAACAGTTGTTGTTGTTGTTGTTCAGTCGCACAGTCAAGTCCGACTCTTTGCGACCCCATGGACCAGATCACGCCAGGCCTTCCTGTCTTCCGTCAGTCTTCTCCAGCACCCTAGTTCAAAAGAATCTATTCTTCTGCGCTCGGCCTTCCTTATAGTCCAACTCTCACAGCCATACATGACTACTGGGAATACCATTGCTTTGACCATGCGGACTTTTGTTGGCAGGGTGATGTCTCTACTTTTTATCATGCTGTTTAGGTTCGCCATCGCTTTCCTCCCAAGGAGCAGGGAGTACCCTGAGGAATTTGAGAAAAGTGGTGTGAATTAGGCAGGGCTTTGGATGTTTGAAATGCTGGTGGCTGCTCCCATCCATATTTTTGATTTGTTTGTTTCAAGTTTGATACTGGATGTTTGCCGAATAAACCAGGTAGAGTGTGCTGGCACTTCTGTTACCTTTCCCTTACGCCTGTTCTGTCTGGCTGTATGCCCGGCTCTGCCAAAAACTCACCAGGTTCTCTCTACTGACTGGTCAAAGTCTTTTCCCTGGTTTCACCCATTAACCAGAGGTCTGTGGTTAGATTAGGATCTGGGAGACCCAGGTTCGAATCCCCACTGTGCCATAGAAGCCCATTGAGTGATCTGGGATTAGTCACATGCCTACAGCCTAACCTACTCCACAGGGTTGTTGGGAAGGTGAAGGAGGAGAGAGGAGAACAGTGTAAGTTGGTTTTGGGTTCCCATTGGGGAGGAAAGTGGGGTATAAATGAAGTAAAATGATAAAACTGGTCTGGTAACTCTAAATACGGAGAGGTGAAAGGTTCCCTCTAAGCTGCGGAGTCTTGTGAGCAAAAATCCTACTTTGTGAGCGACCGGCATTAAAGTGGTGCGCCGGCTATTTGGCTGCTGCAGAAATTAGTTTGCTCTGGAGCCATCCTTCCTGAGCTAAGGCAAAAAGCTGTGAGCCAAAGGCTGAAAAACTGTGAGCCAGCTCACCCTAACTCAGCTTAGAGGGAACACTGGTGCTGATGGAATTGGCCATTCCTCACAGAAAAGAGATTTTTTTTCAGAATGCACATAGACCAAAGATCTATATGGAATAAGCCCTGGGAACTGGAAGGGCTTGTTGGCCAAGGCTGGAGTGGACTGTAGGATTGCCAATCTCCAGGTGGGAACTGGGGATTTCCAGGCAACAGAGATCTGTCCCCTGGAGAAAATGGCTGCTTTGGCGGGTGGGCTTTATGGCATTACACCCTGCCGAAGTCCCTCCCATCCCCAAACCATCCCCTCACAAGTCTCAAGGAATTTCCGAACCCGGAATTGGCAACCCTAGGAGTAAGATGAAAGCTGTCACTGGTTTTTGGTAGGTCTGGCAGCACAGCCCCACAGTTTCACGTGCTCTCAAGGGTAAAGCCCAGTTATTTTTGCAGTAACTTTTGCATCCAGTTATTCCGGGATGAATGGAACTTAACGGCTGAACAGGCTTCCCAAGTACCTACCATGATTCAGCGGGGGACACAGATGTCTTCGCAGGATCATTCCCGCGGGGACAACAGACACGCCGCACCATGCCGTCGCCAGGAAGTGACGCTGGGTGACGCTCTGGCAATGGGGCTCGAAACTCAATGGTACCATCGAGTTTTCAGCCCCATTGCCAGAGCGTCGCCCAGCGTCACTTCCTGGCGACGGCATGCTGTGTTACAGGGAGGAATGGTCCGGCTGGGAAGCATGTTTCCCTCGCCGGATCGCGGTAAGTACTTGGGAACCCTACGGCTGAAGCTTTCTCTTCCCATAAGATCGTCTTCCCATGGGTTGTTGTTGGGGGGCGGGGGGGGGGACTGGGAGAGAGGTTTGCTCGACTACTGCAACGCTCTCTACATGGGGCTGCCTCTGTCGCAAATCCGGAAGCTGCAGCTGGTGCAGAAGGCTGCGGCCAGGCTGCTGATGGGTCTACCTAGTAGGGACCACATCCGGCCTGTGCTGAAAGCGTCGCACTGGCTGCCGATAGCGTACCGGATTCGCTTCAAAGTGCTGGTTCTTACCTTTAAAGCCCTAAATGGCTGGGGTCCAGCATACCTAAGGGACCGCCTTTCCCCATATGTTCCCCCGTGAGCACTACGGTCTGGGACGCAACACCTCCTGGCTATGCCAGGTCCCAAGGAGGCCAGGCTGGCTGCTACCAGGGCCAGAGCCTTTTCGGTGGCGGCTCCTACCTGGTGGAACGAGCTCCCGGAGGAGATCCGGGCCCTGCGGGACCTCGCACAGTTCCACAGGGCCTGCAAGACAGAGCTCTTCCACCAGGCGTTTGAGTAGGAGCCGCCACTACTGTACCATCATTATGATCTGGCCCTGGAAGAAAGATCGATAGCGCTAAGCGGAACAGATGGCACTGAGTGGATATAACAGCATTAATACACCATCTTTATGGTAATTTAATCTGAACATCGAGAGCACTTAATAATGTCGAAATCTGTTGATTGATTTTAAATGTTTTTAATTGTTTTGTGTGAGGCTTGTGCCTGATTGTGAGCCGCCCTGAGCCTGCGCTGCGGGGAGGGAGGGCTATAAACCGAATTTATAAATAAATAAATAAACATGGCACATGGGAATCACAGGTCTTTCAGTCACCCTTAGAAGCTTCCATATTATTACTGCAATTGTTCATTGGCCACTCATCACTGTATTTCAGTACAAATCCATGCTTTCTCTCTCCATGAATGCTTCTGCCATCCCCTTCTAGCCCAAGTTTCTTTTGTTGGTTTTGTAGGCGGACGTAGATAAAGCTGTGGAGGCAGCAAAAACTGCTTTCCAAAGAGGATCGGCGTGGAGGCAAATGGACGTCACCAGCCGAGGGAGACTCTTACACAAGCTGGCCGATCTCATTGAGCGTGACAGAGTTGTGTTGGCGGTAAGTGAACCATCGCTGGCTGGCGTGTGAGCCGTCGCAGAAGGCAGTGGAGGCGGGTGGGTACAGGGAATGGTGAGCCAGAAGTGTTGACCAATTTGGCTTGGGCTGGAATCCACAAGTGGTTTGGTCCAGAGTAGATCCATTAGTGCGTGGCGCTGTTTCAAAGAGAGAGAGAGAAAGTTGTAAAGCATTTTAACTTGTTTTCTTGGCATGATCCAGAGAATAAAAGCTAGGCTTTTAAGAGGTGAGGGGGTAGAGAACTGAGAATCCAAAGAAAGCAGCCAAGTAAAATCATTTGAATTATTTATTTTTTGTGCTGATAGACAATAGCATTCAAGATTTTTTTTCAAACTGAAAATGCTTTAAAATATTTTTTTTGGGGGGGTGGGGGAAGTTCATACCCTGCTGTGCCACCTAATCTAGGTATCCATGATGGCTTACAGCCTAAATTTTAAATCAATCAACGACAAATTTTAAACCAATCAACAACAATTTCTGTAAAAAAAACAACAACCCAGAATAAACTTAAAATTTCAGCCCCCTCAGTAAGAGCCCTAAGAAATGAATCTAACCTCCAGGTTAGACTATTGCAACATGCATTATGCAGGGCTACCCTTGTACCTAATCCAGAAGTTGCAGCTAGTGCAAAATGCAGCAGTGAGTGGATATATACTGACTGTGACGTCTCCGCAGGCACACATCTGGCCGGTGTTATGCCAATAGAATTCCAGATCCGTTTCAAGGTGCCGGATACCACAAGTTTTAGAAATGCCATCTTGTGATCAAGTCGGACTTTAGAATGGTTGTTTTCGGGCTTTTAATCTGCTTTATCCTCTGTTCAGTATATTCTATATTGTATCCTGCCCTGAGCCTGCTTGCGAGGAGGACGGGGTAACAATTGAATTAAATAAATAAAACTGAATGCTTCCAAAAGCCTGGATGAATACAGATGTTTTTAACTGGCATAGAGAAAGTGCCTGACGTACATGTGTGGGATGATGTTCCAGAGTCTGGGGAGGATCCATCCCACAAATTGGTTCCGCTAGTGGAAGTGCTCTCCTCTGGCAGAAGGCACAGGAAATGCCAGGTTAGGCATTTCCTGGAGACTTGTAGGTGGAGGCTGGGGAGGGACTTTAGTGGGGTCCAGCAGGAACTTATTAGCATAATAGGCCACACCCAACACCAGAAACTCATTAGCATATTAGGCCACACCCCCACATTACTAGAACTGTGGTCATCCAGCCACGCCCACCATTTGCTTCTTATTCTGTTGACCTTGTTTGTTGTCAAAACCCAGGGCTTTTTTTGTAGCAGGAACTCCTTTGCATGTCAGGCCACACACCCCTAATGTAGCCAATCCGAATGAGTGTCTGCTGTTGGGTGTGGTCTGTTATGCTAATGAGTTCCTGCTGGGCGTGGCCAACTCGGGAGCCAGCCGGAACGCCGTTCCTGTGCATTCCTGTCCAAAAATAACGCTGGTGGGGTCTATAGAATCCACTCTCTGAAGCAGTGATTTCCTCCAGGGGATCAGTTAGAATTCTGGGAGGTCTCCAGGCCCCACCTGGAGGCTGGCAACTCTAGAAAGGAGGCTTTCCCCAATGATGGGAGGGAAGTTTTCTTCTGTAGAATGAGAGCCCCTCCCTCCAGTGGGAAAACGGATCCACAGGGTCAAACTCTCTGAGTGCCACTGACCCGATTTAAATCTTAAATGTTGGTTTTATGTTTTGTATGTAACCTATTTTATGTATTTTATTCATACTGTAAGTTCCATAGGAAGAAAGGTGGGCGATAAATATTTAAAATAAATAAATACATTTCTAGCACCTCGTTTTTGGACCAGGGCCTTGGTAGATCTTAAGGCCCAGGCTGTTGGGATGGAAGCTGTCAGTTCTTTTGGTGCCAGATGAAGGAACCACCCACAAGCTGAAGTTAAAAGGAACCGTGATGAGTAAACCAGCATCATGCGTTTCAGATCAGTGCTCCCCCTAAGCTGTGGAGTCTTGTCAGCAAATATTCTACTTCGTGAGCTACTGGCCTTAAAGTTGTGAGCGAGCGATTTGGCTCCTGCAGAAATTAGTTTGCTCTGGAGCCCTCCTCCCTGAGCTAAGACAAAAATGTGTGAGCTGGAGGCTAAAAAACTGTGTGCTAGCTCACACTAACTCAGCTTAGAGGGAACACATCAATGTTCCCTCTAAGCTGTGGAGTCTTGTGAGCAAGAATTCTTTGTGAGCTACTGGCATTAAAGTTGTGAGCGAACGATTTGGCTGCTGCATAAATTAGTCTGATCTGGAGCCATCCTCCCTGAGCTAAGACAAAAATGTTTGAGCCGGAGGCTAAAAAACTGTGTGCCGGCTCACACTAACTCAGCTTAGAGGGAACACTAGTTCAGATCCTGATTTGATAGGCCCTAATTAGTCCCATCTCAGGTTCCAGCTCCCGCCGACCTAGCTGTTCAAAAGTAAGAAATTGCAAGTAGATAAATAGGTACCGCTTCGGTGGGAAGGTAACAGCATTCTGCCCGCCTCGGCGTCTAGTCATGCCGGCCACATGACCATGGAAATGTCTTCAGACAGCGCTGGCTTTTCGGCTTGGAAACGGAGATGAGCACCTCAACCCTAGAGTCGGATTCGACTGGCTTTCGAACAAGAGAAACCTTTACCTTTAACTAGCCATAGAAACCAGTGTTCACTGTTAGTTTGGTTAAACCACAGCTTCGTGTGACCGTGGCTCAGTGACTCTGCTTGGCATGCAGAAGGCCTCAGGTTCAATCCCCTATGGCATCTCCAGTGAAAAGGGCTCAGGTTGGGGGTGATGTGAAAGACCTCCTCTGCCTGAGACCCTGGAGAGTTTCTGCCAGACAAAGTTGACAAGCCTCATCTTGATGGACTGAGGATGTGATTTGGTATAAGGGCAACTTAATTCTAGCATAGCCAGTTGTGTAGAAGCGCAAGGATCAATATAGTCAACCAGGCTTTTTTTCCTGGGGGACCGTGCCAGAACTCCGTTCCAGAATCTCTTCCACTCAGGGCCGGCTCACTCACTAGGCGAACTAGGCGATCGCCTAGAGTGGGACGGCCCTTAGGGGCACCAAACTGCACCCGGCCCCATACTCTGGGAGTTTCTTGATTATTTGTGTTTTTCATTCTTCCTAAAATGCATTTATTTTTTAAAATTGGTGG